TCTGGACCAGGATGGGCCTCTAGCCCCAGACTCACCAGTGCTCAGACCATCTGCTTCCCTTTACACCGAGCAGCCTGGTTTTCCTGGACTAAGGAGATTCTCCAGGAACCTGAACCCAGAAGGGGGGAGATCATTGCCATCGGGGTAAGGGCTGCAGCAGGAGGGTCTGGAATTTGGGCAGGAAAGACTGGTCTGGGGGGCAGGCGGGGGCAGAGTTACGGGGAACAAAAACTGGGGCCAGCCAGGAAGGCAGTGGTGGTAGTGTGGAAACAGACCCTGAAAGCATGGCTGGGTTATTTACCAGCACAACACAGAGCTGGGCTTATAAAGGGAAATCCTATGAGGGCCAGGCAGGCAACACAGAAGAGTGAACAGAACGGGGAGACGGTAAAACTGGGCCCCCCCAGAGCACAGTCCATGCAAAGGGGAGTCACCCAAAGTAGCCACTGTTCCCATGCAGAAAAGGGACCCTCAGGGTCCAAACTGTCTCATTTTCAAGAGAAGCCAATAAACCCAGAATTTAGTGTAAAACCTCCCAATTTATTTTATTTTATTTTAATTTTTTGGCCACACCGTGCGGCATGCAGGATCTTAATTCCCCAACCACGGATTGAGCCCGTGGCCCCTGCCGTGGAAGCGCAGTCTCAACCACTGGACCACCAGGGAAGTTCCAAACCTCCCAATTTTTGAATTGACAACACTTCTTTGCTTTTAACACGTCTACACACTGAGGTGGTAAGTGGCCAGACGCCCAGACCCTGCTGGTTCAGGCCTGGAGGATCCCCTCTGACCAGCCTTCCACGCCCCTGTGGGGGACCATCCCTCCCTCATCACTCCTCTGGCCCCTGTGACAGCAGGCCTTCCTCGTAAAGGTCAAAGCTAATAAACGGGGTGATGGGTATTTCCTGGGCTTCCCAGAGCCTAGGCAGAGCCCTGCCTAAGCTTTTAACTTCTCATCATCATTCCATGCTCACCGCCAATTCGTGGTGTCTAATTTTGCCTCCTGGACCCTTTGATCCGGCAGGCGGGGTGCCCTGATTAGGGAAGAGCACAGGCCCCTTTTTGGAAGGGACGGGCTTGCAGTCTGCTCTATACAACTGCCCTGGGTGTGCCCAGTTACGGGGACCATGGCCTAGAGACGGAGTGTCTCCAAGGGCGCTGACAACTCCAGGGTCCACGCCTGCAAAGAAGGTGCTAGAAGTCTCCCCAACTCTGCCTGGAAATCTGCAGGTCCTGGTGCCCTGGAGGGGCATCCATCTCAAGGATGGACTTGCCTGTAGAAACGGGAGACCCTACAGAAAGGACACCCTCTGAGTCCACCTACATCCCTGCTGCATCCGTTCATCCCTTCAACCGCTCAGTCCCCTTCCCCACTGCCCTTGCCCTGGTGGGAAACTGGGGCCCCCTGAGGCTGACACCCTCACCCACAGCATAAACATCACACCTGCTACCCACCTGGCCCAGAGCAAAGCACTGTGAAGTAAAGCCCCAGGGCAGGCGGGGAAGCCCCTGGGCCACTATAACGCCTACACAAAGTCTCTGCTGCAGTCAGGCGACTGGGAAGAGCTCGGGATGCAGGGCTAGAGCTTGAGGCAGAGGGGGCAAAGGGCGGGCAGAGGTCTGGCTGGAGGGGATGGAACCGGCCTGGACTCAGGAAACCTGAGGAGGGCGATGGGAGAAGAGAAAGACCCAGTGGGTGAAGACAGGGCGCTGGGGAGAAGGTGGGGAGGGGACGGGAAGGGAACAGGGAGAGGCAAGTGGGCGGGTCCACAAAGAACGGAGAGTCCTGTCGGAGGGACCAGGAGTCCAGGCTTCTGGCAGGCAGAGCTGGTCATCAGCTTTGAAACTGCCCAGTGAACTAGGCAGCTCCTAGCAGACTCCCCGTTATTGCCTCTGGGTTTCCCCACGTGTCGGCCCGAGAACCCACACCCCAAGTGCTCAAAGAAGAAAAACCCGGGGCAGGGGCCTCCCTAAAGGCAGAGTGGAGCCTGCCTCGGCTAAGCTTCTCTGGGGTCAGGGGTCAGTGCCCAGCCTGCGCCAGGCGCAGTTGACAGAGTCACTGCCCCCACGACCCTCGCAACACCCAGAGGATGCGTTTCCCCGTTTGACAGAAAACCAAGGCTCCCGGAGGGGAAGTGATTCGCCCAGAATGCATCTGAGGCTGCTCCATCAATTAGCAAGCCTTACGGACCAGTCCCTGCTCTTAGAGCCGGGCATGCGGGGGTGAAAGAGAGACAGGCCTAGCACTCGACTGTGTGCTGTACTTTAGAGAGGGAAACGGACAAATAGAGAAGGTCAGCTAAGGATCAAGAAAATACGAAGGCCCACAACACTGTAAATCAACTATATTTCAATAAATTTAAAAAAGAAAAAGAAAAAAGGAATGAATGAGACAATATATACAGAAAAAAGAAAGGAAGAAAACACGAAGGTAACAGGGTTAAGCGTGTGTGGGATGCAACTCTGGCTGGCGAACTCAAGGGAGGCCCTTGAAGAGGTGACAGCCTGCCCAGCAGACCCCCAGGGAAGGCCTGTCACACAGAGGGAACCGTGAACACAGCAGCCCTGAGACTGGACAGAGCTTCCCGCACAGGGCACAAGCGGGCACGTGCAGCTGGAGCTGAGGGCAGAGGGGTGGGCCTGCAGACAGAGGGGACGGGAAGCTGCAGGACAGAGGCTGAGGGTGGAGGCAGGGCGGCCCAGCAGGAGGCTGTTACGCAGGCCTCCACGTTAGAGGTGACGGGCCTAGAGCTGGGGAGAGGATGGTGGGCCAGGCATGCAAGTGAAGAGACAGGAGGAGGATGTGGGCCTGAACTGGAGAGGCTGGAGAGGGAGCAGAAATGAAGGGGACACAGGTTTTGACCCTAAAACCCAAGCATCTTACCCCTGACGGGGCCTTTCTCTCTTTCTCCTTTGTCCCTCCTTAGCCAGGGCAGCAGTACACAGTAGGTATACAATTAACTCATTCATATATTCAATGAATATTTATTGAGCACCTACTGTCCTCCCTGGCAAGGTCCTTGCTGGTGTGGTGATAGAGGGGAGGGAGAAGAGAATGGAGGGTCTTTGTTTCAGGTGCGGTGGTCACCGCAGGCTTCTCTCCGACCTCCTTGGGGGAGTGAGGTGGTGAGTCTTAGCTGTGAATATCTCGAAGAATGCATTTCAGGCAGAGCCAGCAGCAAGTACAAAGGCCCGGAGAGGGGAGGGTGCGCACTGAGTTTGTTGATTCATTAATCGGTACCTGTGCCCTTGCCTTGGAACTTTCTAAGATCAGCATCTGGATCTTTCTCATCAGACAGGAGTGGTCGGAGGGGTGAGTGGGGGCCACGTCCTCCCTTTCTTTACGCAATTCCTCTTTCCCCAGCGCTGGCCAGGCCTAGAAGCAGGACAGGTGGAGAAGAAACGGCAGAGACAGTCAAGCAAGAGGGTGGGTTCTGCGCTGTCCCACTACTCACCCCCAGGCTGTTCCTGCTCTTAGCCCCTGACGGTCCCACCCTGTCATTCCCCTCCCCCCCACCCCCGGCACTGGGAAGCCCCTGCCCCTCACGACAGTCCTGCTGAGTGGAGCGTCTGTCTCTCACTCTGCCACACCCGCTCTGCTCAGCTCCGGCACCACGGAGGGACCTAGGAGAGCAAATAGTGCAAATGAAGGGCCGGCCCAGGTGAACCCTAACCGCGCCGCCTGCAGTGCAAGTGCGGAGTCTTAACCACTGGAGCGCCAGGGGAAGTCCCCCGACTTTCTTACGCTCATAAAATAATTGGAAGCGGACCATCACTTCCTCATTATCATTCCTAAGTCATTTCTGCTTCTCCAGCAATCTTGCTGACATGTCGCTCTAAATTCCACCGACTCAAGACTTTCTATTCTTACCAAGAAAGCATAACAGGCAGCAGACCCCCAAACAGGCCTGACCACACACGGAACAAGGCGGGCGCTAGGTTAACGTACCTGACGCGGTTTCTGCGGCAGCGACAGAATCAGATGAACCTCTGACAGGGAGATGCCCGGGATGGGGCTTGTGGGGGGGGGGGGGCGGGAGCGTTAGGTGCCAGCTGAGAACGTCCCTGGGCAAAGTCACCGGGGAGCTGCTTGCCTGAATGGGCCAAGTAACTTCCCTCACCCTGCTTCGAGACGGAGAAAGGAGGCCCTGCTTCACCTTAAGGGGCACCACCCTCCCTGTTTATCAACAGCTGAGAAGGACTGGGAGGGTCTCAGCTGGAATTTACCCTTCTTGGGATGGGGACGTTGTGCGCTGCCCCCTTGAGAACTCAAGCCCCATCAAGAGTCCCGGAAGAACAATGACTTTTGCCTTGTCTTATTCGCCTTCTGGATGGTCCCTGCGGAGGCGAGCAGGCGAGCAGGGCTGTACGCCCCCCTTTGGGGGAGAGAAAAGGGACGCAGGAAAGACGGCCCCGGGGAGTCCACTCCATTCACACTTACTGAAGCCTCGCAAGACCCCGACCTTTCACGGGCATCGCCCGTGGCTCAGAGACAGAAACAAGAGCCCAGGATCACAACGGCCCACGGTGGTGGAGCTGCAGAGCCCGGGCGCGCGCCTGCCGTCTGGACGCCGCCGCCTCCTCCGGACGCTCGGGCGGACCCGGCTCCTGGGCCCCGGGCCCTGGAGGAATCGGCGCCGCGGGCACAGCCGTGCCCTGAGACTGGGGAGCGGCTCCGGGCCTGCAAGTCGGCCAGGTCAGCCCTCCCCCAGGGCCCGAGCCTCCCCCTCGGGCCGAGTCCTGGCCCCCGCCCCTGCCCGGGGGCTCCTCCGGCGGCCCCGCTGACTCAGCGCAAACCAAGCCGCGGCGGGCGGGCGGGAGCGGCCCGGCCCGGCCCGGCCCCAGCAGCCGCCCGGGGGCAGCAGTTCCGCCCGCCCCTCCCTCCGGCCCGCCCCGCCCCCGGGAAGAGGTCCGGAGTCGGGAGCCGCGGCCCCGGCAGAGCGGCGCTCGGGAGCCCCGAGAGAACCAGGCGGGAGCGCGCGGCCGAGCCCCGGCGCGGGATGACGGCCCTCGGCGTGCAGGTGGGCGAGAGCCCGGTGCGGGGGGTGTGGAGGGGCCCGGCCGGGGTCCGAGGGGGGAAGCCGCCCAGGGCGCGGTCTCCTCGAGGTCCCGCGGGCACCGAGGCTCCCAAACGGCTGGGGTGGAGTGTTGTGCTTCTCTTTGGGGTGCGCAGTGTCCATCCGTTAGGTGCACCAGAGGGGTCCCTCCTGTTAAAAGGGGGCGCGTCTGGAGCGGAGGATGGACGGAATCCACTCGTAAATGAGCCTCGCCTTGTCACACGAGGGAGAATCTCTGGAGAAGTCAGAACTTTCCTGGGCGGGGGCAGCAAGACCAACTCCCCTCCCAAAACTGATTTTGGGGGGCGGGCAGAGGGGTGGACTCGCTGGGGCACGCGGAAACCTCAGGACAGGCTGTAGAGAGGGGAGGGGCCCGCCTCGCAGAGATGGGGTTTCTCCTTAGAATGATGCGAGGGGTCCATCCGCACCCCCATCCCCCGGGCGTACGGCTCTCCGCTGCCCTGCACCGAGCTTCCCTAGCGGACGCGTCCCGCCTCCTTACCTCCCGACTGGACGGTCGGGACGGTGAGAGCAGCCCGCAGCCTCTGCCTGCAAGTGCTCGGCGCCCCGCAGCGCAGACTCCGGGGCTGATCCCGCTGTGCCCACTTTGTAGATGCGGTGACCGAGGCTCAGGTGCAGTAAGCCGCCCGTGGCGGCCGGTTCAGCGACAGAATGGCGTCGAACCAGACTTCTGGGCCCGAACAGAAGAAACTCCACCCACAGGCCGCGCCCCGAGCCCCTTGTGGCCGGGACACCGCAACCCTAGAGCCGGATGCAGGGAGTTCCTCTCGTTCTGGGCATAATCTGGGGTCCCGGCCGAGCCGCCTCCGGGACCGGCAGTGAGGACGGTGGGAGCGGGTGCGGTCCCGCGTTCGGGAGCCGACGGCCCTGCGGGGGAGAGACGGGCACACCGGGATTTAGGAGCGGTCTGGGGAAGCGAGTGCTAGATTAAGAGGTGAAGAAACGGCGGCAGGATTAACGGGGGTGGGGAGGGCAGGAGAGCAGCCAGGTAAACAGACTTGATCTTTTAGTGAAAGAAGGGGGGCGGGGCTGATGCTTAGGAGCACTTAATCGCCTGCCTGGGACTGTTCTAAGCGGTTGGGGTGCTTAGGTCTCATTTCAGCTCCCCCCGGGGGGCCAGGTGGCAGGTACTGTTATCTTCAGGGGGTAAATAGCTCGCCCGAGGCCAAAGAGCTAAAAGGCAAGCGGGCCGGCTCCCGGGGCCCTGGGGC